AGAAAATGTAGTCAAGTGTTTTCTAATTCTCGGCAGCATGGGAGTCAGCGGAGGCTCCTCAGATCCATGTGGCGCTGATCCCTGGTGCTACTTGAATGAACTTGGCAATAGCCCAAGAACGTCAGCATCATAAAGAAGAGTACAATATAGTAGAGAGTTTGCATTTCCCTCCATATTTTTTTGACTGTATTCTCTTGTCATTTTCAATTATGTTTATGGTTGATGGGGAGGGGTTGGGTGTGGTATAGGACAAATTTTTTCGTATCTTTATTTCCTGTCTCTCGCTGTAACACCTAGGCCACCGCTCAGTATACACAACAGGTGTTCAGCTAATTACACTGATTGAGAGACTTATGAAAGCAAACCTTGTAAGAATGATTTGATGCTTGACAAAAATGTGGTGTGCCTGTGAATTATAAACATGCGGAGTTCATTTACTTAGCCAAATATATCCAACCAACAGAAACCTTGCATTCAACTCCCAATGCTGGAAAACTAGGAGAAAAAGACTCAAAAATTGTAAAGTTAGAGGGAACAACTAGGCACATATTCTACTGGGTGCTGCGGATTTCCTACTTATGACTTCTGCTTGAAAATCTTGCCATGCCCCAGGCTTTGTTGTGAATGCCAGCAGGTGGCAGAGCTCCTTAAACAATCCTGCATTCAACCACTGCCTTCCTCAGCCCTTCTTTGCTCCTTGCACTCTGCTCAAAACACCTCCGTCCTTCACCTCTCTCCACTGATGTGGGTCCTGCACTTCGGTGGCTTTCTCAGAAATAGCCAGGGCCTTCCTGATGGCTAGTATGGTCTGTAGCTTGTGTTTCCTGTTCTCTGCATTGCCAAAGATCTCAGACACCAAAAAGTGTTCGACTCTCTGCTGTACTTGCTTTGCTCTTGCCTGCATTCTGCTCCCCTCTTCCAAGTTTACTTATGTTGATTTTAGTCTCCATGTCAGCCCTACCATGTTCCCTGGTGAGCACATTTCTGGCCCTTCCCTACTACCCCGCTTTATGAATACTCAAAAAGTGTCCACATATTGAATATGCTAAATAGGATGAAGGCAGTGTGTTTCAACCCAAACATTAGCAATGTGTTTAAGAGAGTGGTTTGTGGACCATCCACATCAGAATCATCTGGGAGCAAATTAACAAAGTGATTTTCTGTGTCTTACCTCCAGCTACTAGTTTTTGATTCTGTAGTTCTAAGATGCCGTTTTTTAAAATCTATCTAGTTTGAGAGGCACTGCTTTGTATCTGGCTCTTAATCTTGGCTGAAAGTCTCAGGGTGGAGGAGAGGGCTAGTAGGGGGGTGGGAAGTGGGTAGGTTCTTTTATAAAATACAGCACACATGTGGGTCCCACTGCAAGTAAACGAAAATTTCTGAATGTAGGGACTAGGCATCAGTGTTTAAAAAAACCTCCCAAGTGAATCTAGAGTGCAGTCAGGTTTGAAAACAACTGCTTTAGTCTAGATGGATTCAATATATGCAGTTTCAAAAGTCTGTAATGCGGAAACTGCTTTAATAAAGTTATTTTCCTTTAACCATGTCACCTAAAACCTTCCTGTCTGTATGTCATGTCAGTAATGTATTCCCTTCTGTGTTTTGCTGTGGAATCATCTTGCCCTTTTTAAAAAAATTGTTTTTCTGGCTTTTTATTTTATTTTTTTTCTGATTAAGTAAATAACAGGAAAAAGATATAAAGCTGGTTTTGCAAGCTAGTAGTCCACAGCTGAAATTGCTCTAGCAGGTGTGTTTTATTGTATCTATGTAGTGTTTTTTAAAAGATTTAAACCAATAGTTAAAAGTTGAGATATTTTTACATAAAAATTCAGAGTTGAGACAACGAGGGAAAAACCAGAAGTTTCATCAATGTTGGAGCCATCTTCCCCACGAGAGCTGAGTAGCAGCCCTTCCTTTGAGGGGGAGCCCTGCCTGTCAGGCCCTCCCTGACCTCCTTGTTCCTGGCCCCTTAGGCGTTTATATTTGTAACCTTTAAGATAAAAGACTGGAATTAATCAACATTTGAACACCTATTAAGTGTTCGGCACTCTAAGGTAAATGCTTATTCTCACTCAAACATATAAAGAGGAAATATACATTATCCTCTCTATAGGGAACTCTGAGGCTGGGCTGGTTTGGGCTGAAGGTCTAGGTCAGAATTCTAATCCATCTCTTAATACTGCGGAAGCTTACCCAGGTCCTCATGCTTGTAAGAACTGCAGGAATTTTGGCTTGGTTCCATACCTCTCAGATTAGAAATGAAACTTTTTGGGATACCTGTGAAGTATTTTGCATTCGATTAAGGCTTCATCACCTGGATTAAGGGAATTTAGAAATCAGTAAATTTGGTAAGGCTTCAGTCTAATTAGCTTCAAGTGTAAAGGCAGAAGCTTTTTGGGCAATTTAAGACAGATTTGCAATCCTATCGAGTGGGTGCAATCATGTATGTAACCTGAACATTTCAAGGAGAGTTAATAATGACCTCTCAGGAGCCTCAGGGAACTGAACAGGAAGAACATTTGTTCAATGTAGTTAGTTATCTGAGTAGATTTTTTGTAACACAAATTCTTGAGCGTACCTCTGGGGAAGGGAGGCCTCATGCCCACAACTCGATAGCAGTCACTTCAGCTCTGGTAGCTTAAAGTACCACCTTTTTAGGATAGCTTTTAACTGATGTTATAAATATTTTATCAGGGTTAGTTTGTTAAATAGCATTTTGTAGTCTTAGTGTGATTTTTTTCAGTGACATCTCGGGGCCAGGATTATCCCATTAGAAATGGATCTCAAGTTATGAGGTATTAGTGGGAAAATGCTATTTCAATATACATTTCAGTAACACATCACTCGCATAATTAAGGCATGCAGTTGTTATCTAGAGCACTTCAGGGTCACTGAGAATAGGTTGAAAAGAAGGCGAGTGGTGTGCCATTCTGTGTCCAGAAAACTTTCCATTTCTCAGATGGCATGTGTGGACTGGCAAGTCAGG